TTTCCCTCCCACCTTCCCAAAAACCTCTTTGTTACCCTACTGCTCCTCTCCTCTCCAGCTCCACCAGTTCGGATTTGTGTTTGCAGCATGGGAACAGATCCTCAAAAGCAGTCCCTGGGAACAATGGAAAACACAAAAGATATCTTGATAACGATGACTCCTCCTGCTCCTCGAGAGCTCACAGGAAAGAGTTAGATGCTCATATATCCTTAGTATGAGTGGTTAAAAGGGCGAACTTATCTACATTTATCCTTCCTCATCATTTCCATAAGATTTTGGAAAAGAGACGACAAAAACATCTATTTTCCCAATATAAAAAAGCATTAAGAACATAAATGGAAAGGTCCTCTTACTTCCTGTTCTCTTTTACTTGCAAATCAACCAGGTGAAAAGATCCTTCCCCTTTTTCTATCTTTTACCATAGTCATTTTTCCTCAGTAAAGAAAGCATTTAGCGGAAGTTAGAAGTTCCACAACTTGCATTCTTGGAAGAAAATCATTGGTATTCAAGAAGCCTATCTTCAAATAAATACTTCAAATTAGACATTCAGCTACTTCCTCGTAAGTCCACTCTGCTCCAAGCTTGCTATAATCCTAAAAGGTATCACAGTTACACATGCCTAGTAGCCATGCATGCAATAGAATACAGAAAGTCTCACCGCTAACTCACTAGACTGACAATCGACNGCCTCAGCGCTAACTCACTAGACTGACAATCGAACCTAGGGAGATATTTAGCCTGGGAATATTACTTCCAATAATGGCAGGTAATTATGAGTTCTGCCGTACTTGATTCCTGAGAAAGGAGATACCACCACGTCAATGAAGGAATGCAAGTGTAGTTTTCATCAGATCTAAACCATTTACACAACAACTTATCAGCAATAACTTTTTTCTGAACGGTCATGTCCGTGCCAACTTGCGTGCACCCTCGACTACTCCCCTAGGTACCTGCTACCTCCATCGGCACAGGTATCAGATAACTCTGCTGCCAAGGCTTAGACGGAAGTGAAGATGTCACCGAGCATTTTTTGTCTCCGTTAGGATTTGAACCCGGGTCTCCCATGGTTTTACCCACTTCATTAACCGCTAGGTTACACCCTTGGGTGCATAACTTATCAGCAATAACTTATGCGTCTTTATAATATTCTTATTACATGCTCCAAAAGCCCTTATCAAAAAAAAAAAAACATGCTCCAAAAGCATTTTTACAAGCTTAAGGATATAATCTTTTTTCTCATTAGAGAGGCAATAACAACAACAACAAACCCAGTGTAGTCTCACAAGTAGGGTATGGGGAGGGTAGAGTGTACGCAGACCTTACCCCCGCCTTTCAAAAGGTAGAGAGGTTGTTTCCGGTAGACCCCGGCTCAAGAAGGACAAAGACAAACATATAACTAAATAAAAAATAAATAAATAAAAATAAAAATAAGTCTTTGTCTCTTTGAAACAAATTAAAAACTCTTGTTTGCCCGGAACAGCAACAACTAGTTTTATTAGCAACAAACACTTTTCTCATTAGAGAGGCGAACAGCATTAATGAACTGATTCAGCTTCTTCATTTTGATAACTTGTTTTTGATTAGTTACCATACCTTTGGCATGATAAATAATACTGAAAAAGCTAAACAGCAGTGGTTTCCCGAACACATAACACACATAACACCGTTAGTCCCCCATTTACTAGATCTTATGAAGTTCAAGTTCAACGAGGTTCAGTGCTTTTCCAGAAGCTCATTAAATATTATTTAATTAATGTGCTGATCAAAAACTTAACATGAAGCAGCTATTTCACAGCTGTTATCCTTATGGAACATGCAGCCATTCATGCATACTTACGAAAATCATGTACATAAGCACTTGAATCCCGGTTAGCTTACAATATGTTATAGAGCATAGACTTACATCCTTGCCAAAATTTTTAAGAGTTGCAGCCAAGTCTTTTCTTCCATAGGAAAAGCTCGTATTTCTCCATAGCACACATTATGAAGAGGCACCCAGCAGCTACTCGGAATTTAGATCATGGATATTAAATTTAACAAATCTAAACCAAAGGTCAAATCTAATGTGCCAAATCAGAAAACTTATATCATGAAATAGCTATTTCAGAGCTGTTAACCATATGAAACATGCAGCCATGTATGCATACAACATAAAAAACATTCACAGGAGGATATGTTTCCCAATTAGCGTAGAATATTTTTTTATCAAGTCCCAATAATATATTGTAAAGCATACATTAAATCCTCGCTAAATATTATAAGAGTTGCAGCCAAGTACTCTTTTCCTTGGGAACAGCTCATATTTCTCTTTAGCACACACTATGAAGAGGCATCCAGAAGCTGCTCAGAATTTCACTCAGCAGATGAAAGCACAAAACAAATACTTTATAAAAATATTGCAAGTATGTACTAGTTTACCTGGTGAGTATACGTACCATTACTCAGCCAGGACTTTTGTTCGTCCAAGATTTTTAGGAGTTGTGGTGAAGTCATATTTCTTCGAGTTGAAAGTTTGGGGTTCATTTAGTACACTTCATGAAGAAGCGCCTTCGGAGTCTCAATAAGAAGATATTCAAAATAGATCAGATAAATTTATACATTCAATCTAGAGACAACAAACACAGAAAGGCATCTACAACTCCTACAGACGCTTTTTGTCGCATATAGAATCTTTGAGGAAAAATAAACTCCAGAAATTTAAACCTGTCAAACTCAGCCAAAAACATATGTAAGCATCCAAATAAAACAGAAAGTCCACACATACATCAGAAGGAGAAGTTAAGCTGCAAAGATATATAACTGTGATCTGCAGGGCTGCACGAAATAGCCTTCTCTGAAACCAGCAATATACCTTACTATATCTCTAGTTGCAGTTAAACGTAGTTAGCAGAGGTCAGTATATTACTATATCTTGATGTTTCCTTGAATAGATAATATATGATGCAATCACCTAAACATGGAATATTCCTGAAGGTCCTCGTGGGTCAGATTTTCAAAAGCTACCAACCTCCCAAGAATCAGTAAGTGTCACACTTTTTCACATGTTAAATTATCCTCCTTAGCATCTTCCTTCAAATATGTATGCCCCTGCTTCCATTTATATGCATTTATGCACGTACAAAATTACATGTTTTGACAGTAAATCATGCAAGTTCTCTGCTTAAAGTATATTTAATTTCTCAAGTTCTGGAGTGCATCCATAACATAGGGTTGAGAAAGGACATCAGATGACATGCAAGTCTGTGTACACTTCTATTGCCAAGTTGGTATTCCAACAACTGATTACATACTTTGCTCTTCTGCCAAACAAAATAAACGACAGAACAAACTGGAAAGATGCAACGCTGCAGCAAAGATATGTGAAAATCTAATTAATCACAGACTTTATTTGAGATGTCTATGCAGTGAAGATGTGTGAAAATCTAATTTTTCGCTGTAAGACTTTATATGAGATGTCTACAATTTCACAGCTAAACTGCAAAGAGCAAAAACAAAGAAAACAATATCAAGCACTTGAGGCACTTTTTTGGAAAAGCAAAACGGTTATTGCATGTAACTTATGAACTATAATCACAGTATCACATTTTGACATATAGCAACTACCTCTGTTTCATGGGACGCCGTGCATTATAAACTGAAATCCATTGGGTTGCAGGACTACCGAGTCGCACTTTTTTCTTTGGTTGCTCATCTTCCTCCAAGTTTATTAGCAGTCTTCCACGCTTCTGCCCAACCTGATTAAGGATAGGTAACAGCTAAGTAAGGAGCCAATATATCATGCAAACACATACAACCATGCATAAAGATAGATGGACCTTAAGAGCCCCATCAATTCTTATTGGCCTCAGTGATGTGCAGGGCTCAATAAGACTCTCAAAGAATGATATGAGCTTGGCGTAATTCGGTTCCTCATCAAACTTCATGTTTGTTACAGCCTCAAGGAATTGCTTGAATGGGGTAGGGCAAAAGCAACACATCAACTCTGGTGAAGTGGCCATTTTCTTTTTACAGACTAGAAAACTCTTGTTGTCACCCTGTCACCATTCAAAACATCATACAGTAGAACCATTAAACTCAATTAGCAAAGTTATGCCCAAGCAACAAAATAGTGAAGCAAAAAACAACCGACCTGATAGCCTTGCCATGGTAACCTTCCCTTTATAAGGAATATTAATGTGTATGCTAGAGACTCAAGGTCATCCCTTCTACTCCCGGTCCGACCTAAATGTGCATGTACACTTGCATATCTTATAGTACCCCTGTCAAATAAAAGCATATTTAGTGCACAAAACATGAAAATGAAGTTACATATCTAAGCTTATTTAATCACGTGTCAAATTCCATAAACCTGAATATATCTGGCCTCTGGTCATACTCGACATGCTGAGCAGATGCTGAATCTTTCCATCTAGATGCTGCATCAATGTAAAATAATGCATCACAAAAAGCACACATCGAGTTAAAACAAAGGGAATTATTAATCTTCAAATATAATAAACCCACTACCAAGAAAGTTGTCCCGCAAATGTACCGAGATATCTAGAGACATATTTCAACAGAAAAACAGACATTATGCTTACAAATCTAGCTCACTAAGGTGATTCTTTTTCCATTCCAAAAATTAGAAAAGCAAAGGCGTTTGACACACCAAGGATAAGCATAGAGTGATTAAGGGAGAAAATGAAATAATAATAATAATAATAATACATCGTACCTAAACCAAGATCAATAAGATACAGCTTCTTCTCATCAACACTTCCTGGCTGACCAAGCAAAAAGTTTTCTGGCTTCACATCTCCATGCACAAACCTAGGAGACAGAAACAACGCTGAACAGTTAACTTCATATATACAACATCACTCCTGAGCTTAGAACGGGAAAGTGAACTGATGCAAACAGAGAAGGCAATGCTAAACCCAAGGAAGTTAAAGATGAAACATGAAGAAAATGACGCAAAAGAAATGTATATACTATATAGAAGAGATCAATACACTTACCCCTTAAGGTGAAGCTTTTCGAGAATTGATATTGCCTCCACAGCGATACAGGCCGCCATATTTGGTGACATTCTGTTGCAGGTTAATTATCATCAAACAGGAAGCATATAGCGCGTCCATGTGCAGGGAAAGTAATACAGAGTAAACTGCTTTGCATTCCAATGCACCTGCAGTCAAGTTAAATGTGAAGGAGATGTAGTCGCAAAACTTACGACTGGCCTAAAGAGTTCCAGACATCCCAAAGGCTCGGTCCAAGCATGTCCATCACCTAAAAATTAATATTCAGCAAACATCACAAAGATGCAACAAGTGACACTGATATTAATGGTGAGAAAACTAAGCTCACCAGAATGTAAAAATCTCCCTGACGACCCTTATAATGAACCCCTGGGATCCCATAGCAGCCGTTTAGGGTACTGTCAAATAGTAAAGTTGCAAGTAGATGATAAGAAAGGCATCTCAAGACTGAAAAAATATTATACATACCACAAACTTCAAACTTAGGAATTTCACTTACTTGTACACCTGCCACTCATAAGGAGGGCCATAGTTGCAACCCTTACTGTTTCGATGCTCAAACTTTAATGCAACCTAGAGCAGAACATTATCACTGTATTATACACTAAATAATTTCAACAAATCACACAATAAATGGCATGGATAGTACCTCAACAGCATCTGGTCCTGTTCTCTCAGTTCCTCCACTTGTTCTACGACCAACATAAACTTGTCCAAATCCACCCTTACCTAATCTTCTTTCTGTTTTATATACAGGAGAATTACCCACTTGCACCTGCGTCCAGACAGAGGAAGCCTTCTTTCATGAATTCTACTCCCAATAAGAGTATATATATAACATTTAAAGTCTTGCTCCACTGACTATCACTAACGCTATCTACATATTTCCTTAAGCAGATGGTGAAGAGTGAAATGGCAGAGTCAAGTTTAAGAAGATTTTCAGTTGATCCCCAATTTCATTAAGAAAATTCAAAAAGAAAAAAGAAGCAACAAAACAGATGTTAGGGTTATCAGGAAGATACCCTATCAGGTACTGGAGTTGTGCTTGCTTCTTCTTCAACTCCCATTATTTTGTCTCTATTCCCACCTTCCATTGCAATATTTTTATCTGCAGCACCCTCAGCTCTATTAAGAGCTGGCTCTGCAACACCAACAGGAACAGCTTGAGGAAGAACCTCACAAGGTGGCTCCGGATCTAAATCTATCAACCTAATCCCCCTACCCCTACCAGCACCACCAGGCCTTGCCCGCGTCGCTGCTGAAGGCCCTTTTGCTACAGCTGTTGCATTACCCCTTCCTCTTCCACCACCACCTCTTCTTCGACCTCTGTTCTGAGTAGGCAAAACCCAATTTTCTTCTTGGCCAGAGGGTTCTGGGGCAGGCTGGGGATCACCAAGCCGTTTTGATCTCCGTGCTCCCCTACGCAGATCTGGCATCCTCACCCATGCAAATCACATTCAACTCGATTCACCCACCTTGCCTTGAAAATCTGGTGGTACCCATAAGAGAAGAATCACTTAAAAGATAAAAGAGAAGCTCAAAACTGAGATTTTTAACAATTTGTGAACAACCCAATGCAGACCTCAATTTGCAATCAGGAGCAGAAAATGCAGGTTTCAAACATGAAGAAACTTGGGGAAACTTTACAGGATAACATTTCAAAATTATAATTCTGCTTACTTAAAATATTAAAAGTGACCAGGTGACTAGAAACATATCTCTACTTTTGGCAAAAAAATCCGAAACATCTATGTAAAAGCTGGTAACTTCATTCTTGATCATAAAATTTTCCCAATCAAGAAACAACAATAAAAGCTCCAATAAATTCAGCTCCATAAATTCCTATGATAAGGAAAGTTCTTAATAGTGGAATCAACAATAAAAGCTAAACAGCCAAACCACATCCAAGTTAGAAACTTTATCAAAGAAACACAACCAAAACAGTTCAACAAAATGATATTCTATAATCACGAAAAAGATTCTATGACGGGAACCAATGTGATCCTACTCATACCTCAACCGATCATCAAGAAAGCAACAAAGATGGAACTGTTTTGGTACATTCCACAAAAGCAAAAAGGGAAATCCAAAAGAATCCAACAAAACCAAGAAACAAAAGCAAAAACTTGAGATGATACCTCAAAAACAACAAACCTAAAAGGATCGGAGAGAAACTGAACAAAAATCAACGCATTTAATGTACCAAACAAGAGTTGTAATTGTTGATCAAACTTTAGATCTTCAGTGAACTCATAGATACCACGGGAGATAGCTCAAGAAATTGAAAAAATATAAACAAAGACAAAGAATCTTATCTGTAGCACAAAAACAAGAAAGGAGAAGAAAAAATGAAATGCAGAAATGGTTTCGTGTGAATATATGAATGGGAGTATATCGATAAGGCAGGAGTCGAAATGGAGAAGGAAGTAATATTATTACGTCCGGTGAGAATTTGGATTTCGAAAACCTTTGAATTTTGTGAAATAATAATAATTGGAATAGTGAGCTAGGGGTGTTATAGGTTAGTCGGTATGGTACGTTAACGAGACATTTCACTTCGGTATTTTTGATATTCAATTTCTTAAAATGCTATATTAATACCGTATCTAATTAAATTCGGTATTGTTCGGTTTTTTTCCTTTCGATTTCGGTTTATTCGGTTAGGTAACTTCGGTTTATTCGGCTTGAATACTAACTAGTATGTAGAGTCAGAGACTGTAATATTCTTAATTAAAGTACTAAAAAATACAAAACTAAAAATATTTGTTGACAAAAGTTTTGTCCAAAACCAGCAAATATCAACTCAGAGAGAGAAAATTATACATAAAGGAATAAATCTAATCATTAGAAATGTCTTGTTACTTGCTTAGAGTTAATTGATAAACTTAGAGAATAAAGGAAAGTAAAATTCTAGATTTTTTATATTTATGTTATAATTAATAATATGTGTATTGTGCAATATAATATATATTTCGGTACGGTATCGGTATTTCATTTTAAAATAACAAATATCATACCTAATACCAATTTACTTTAAAAATTAAACCGAATACCAAAATATCGAATACCAAATACCAAAATTTTCAATTTCAATACGATAATTCGGTATTTACCAAATTATGCACAAGCAGCCACCTTGTGTATTTTGGTGTGTTGTAGGAGGAGGGGCATTGTAGCATTGTGGCACTGTGGTGTATACACCATGTCAGGATAAAAAACATATAAGAACTTCTTTTTCTTTTTCTTTTTTACACTAATATCCGTACTCGTACCCGCGCATTGCGCAGAGAATATGAAATATAATTTTTCATAAAAAATATTACTTTAAAAATACAATAGACAAAAAGGAGCATGCAAATACTATTATTGTATGAACATGTAAATGCATTGTCACTATACATATGGAATAGAAAATTGCATCACAAAGCCTTATAGCAACCCGAGGGAGTCTCTACAATTTACTGTTTTCACATAGGTCTCTCAAACGGTGTCTGAGTATAGTAATATGAGCCCATGGCAAGTCACCCTACTGTTATAATGTACTCTGATATTGTTTTCTCGTGAGAATCGTCTTCTTCATTCAATTGCTCTCTGAATCATTTGTCAAAGAAAACGAGAGTATTAATAATAGTTGTTAAACCTTTTATGAAAATTTTCAACATAGTTGCAGGGGAGAAACTTTGTGTTATAGTTCCATTGTATAAATAAAAATTATTCACATGCTCACAAGTAGTCCTAATAAAATTTGAATTTTCAGAAAAGTTATGCATTGTTCTTTTAAACTGCAAAAGTTTCCTAAAATTAACTTATCTCCTCTTTACTAACTGATGCAATCGAAGTATCAATATCTCTACCAAAATCCGAAATACCATAAAGTGAAATAAAAATAGAACCAAGAAAATGCTTCTCAAAGGATTGCCCCGCGATCACAAGCAAAAATTTAAAAAATAGTAGAAAAATTATAATGTTCACATTGTTGTTAGCATTGTTTAGAAAAATAGTAGGACGTGTTGTTTTATTGATGAGTTTTTGGTGCCTTGTGAATTGGTTTTAGGATGTATAAGTATATAAATTTACAATCTCATAGTTTTATGTGGAGAGCCGATGCACCGTCATAAACTTTTACATCCTCAAATTAATAATAAGTAATAATTAATATATAGTTAAAATTTATGAAGGACTCATGTTTTTTGATAAAGTTCACTGAAATATTTACCTTGCAATAATTATAGTGTATTTAAATCCGGTATAAGATAATCTGTTTGCACATTTGAAGTCGACAAACCATATCGCAAATTTCACTCTAGCGTTGAATTTGGATATTGTGCTTCAGAATGAGACACGATGAAACGTGTCCACACTTCTTTATGTGTGCACTGCATATTGGATTGAAATTTTGACGATTTGTTTTGTCCATTAATGATTGTTTTGTTTTTCCTTTTTCAAAAGCATTCTCTCTAATAGGATCAACAAAGTCTGTAAACCATAAAAATGAAAAATTAGCTAACTATTAGAAATGAACAAATTTAGGGAAGCTATCAAACCATTAAGGGATGTCATTTCATGACATGTTTGATTTTATAAATTTACTTCTATGTTCATGTTAGAGGTTAGTATAGAAGAATTGAAGAGCTGTTTTGAACTGTTGATTTTCTCTTCTTTCAACGGACTAAAGCAGGTAAAAAAGCGACATATAAAGACGATACACCTACACAACTAATCATCAGAATAACTTAAATATACAAATGCTATAAGATTCAATATCAGCATAAGAAATATTGGATGTTCAAATAGAGCATAGATGATAAACGCAGATGACATAATATTTTATTAATTTTTAGCATAATATAACAGATAATATATTTGCAAGAAAGATGTCACGACCCAAAGTCCAACTAGTCGTGATGGCATATAACCCAACCCGATAAGTCAATTTAACAATATTCCAATTTTAAATGAGATTTACTGAGAAAATAATGATGAAATAACTTAACTTTTATACAACAACCTAAGGACTGGTAGTACAAATCATGAACTTCTAAGATTTAGAGTTTACAAAGCTGGTATGAAATAAATACATCATCTGTTTGAAATATACATAAACAGATTTATAAATCTAAAGCTATCAAGAACAACAGGCAGCTATAACCGGAACGCAGGTACATCTTAAATGTCAGCTCCCGCCATACACATCAACATCAGCTCCAAAATCTGCACGCAAGGTGCAGAAGCGTAGTATGAGTACAACCGACCACATGTACTCAATAAGTAACAAACATAACCTTAGGTTGAAAGTGTCACGCCCCGAACTCGGGGAGCGCGACCGGCGCTCAACCGAGTGAACCGGCCGAGCAAGCCTGTTAGATTTTCTTCTACCCAAACTCATCCATGAATAAAGAGGAGATGCACTCCATTAATCAAACGCTGAAAAGATTTCATTAACAACTCCCATTTAATTTTCATTAGCAGCTTCCTTCATAATTTTCAAAATATTACAAGTTTATAGATATAATGAAAAACATGTTTGCTAAATACCAACATTTCTAGCTCAATTCCCCACATCAAACACCACGCACAACCTGTCTACGGAGCCTCTAAGTACAACCAAAGAGTAGTATGGAAGTGTCGGCAACAAGGCCCTGGCTATACCTCAAAACACAATGTACAACTCAAATGACATTAGGCTTGGAATAGAGTAGGGCTCACCAAAACCTGCTGAATAGATAGTGATTGCTAACGAGGACCAAAGTTGCCCGCTGATGAACCACCTGCATCCATTGAAGATGCAGCGCCCCCGGCAAAAGAGACGTTAGTACATATGGAATAGTTCTAGTATGTAAAGCTAACTGTCCTCTTTCAAAATATAATACCAATGTAAGAAAGGGAAAACCATGGAAACAACAATCAACAATCAATGATATTCAAATGCCAAGTTAAAACATAATAATTTCCAAAATACGAAGATAATATTATTTTTGGTTGGGAAATCTTTAGCACCGATATACCACTGTTCACAATACCACTGTTCATAATACCAATATTCATAATACCAATACCACCATACTTTTAGCACGGAGTCCGATCACGACCCGATCGGCTAGGCCATCTCATCCGAGGCATCAACCACAATCACAATTTCAATTACAATTTCTAACACAATGTGAGGACCCGTAAAACTTTTAACCAAAAACTCGGGGTTTCGTGGTGCCAAGATAGATTCCTGTGTTGCTTTAGTAGAAATTCTTCGCGGCTCGCAAGCTCACCGCGGTTCGGACCTTTTGGACTGAACAGTACCCTACGGACTTAGAGAAAAATATTTCGTAGAAGAAAGCGTTCCTGCGGCCCATTATACGGCCGCATAATCACTCTGCGGACTGCATAATGGCCGCAGAGTGAAGCAGTAAGTTTGGCCACTTTCAGGTCAGTTTTGCGGTCAATTATGCGACCGCATATCGGTCGCATATTTTCCTCTTGGGTTTCTGCGGAGGGAGTTCTGCGGTGCATTATGCGATCGCAGAACAAGTATGCAGACTGCATACTGGTCGCATACCTGAGCCGAAAGTTTAGGCCCCTGAGGGCCATTTCTGCGGTCACTTTGCGGACCGCATAACCATTATGCGGTCGCATATGCGACCGCAGACCTGTGTCGGGGCACCATTTTTCTTAATTTAAAACCCGACCTTCATTCCATTAAAATACCCCTTAGGTCTATTTTGAGCTCATTTTCTGATGTTTCTAGAGTGAGAGAGAGAGGGTTCAAGAGGGAGGGCCTAAGTTTTCATCAAATTGATCTTCAATCATCACTTGAAGCTTTGAAAATATTCAAGTAGAGCACCAATTCTTCATCCAAAAGGGTAAGACTTCATCACCCCAGCTCTTAATTTTAAACATAGCTATAATGGGGTACTAGTGTGATACTTCATGGGTATAAGGGTGGTTTATCTTGTATGCATATATGATAAAGAGTGGGGGAAAAGTGAGCTAGAACCATGAACGTTTTCCTAATTTTGGGTTCAATTTATATATTGCTAAAATAGATTGTGGTTGCTAAGGGTTCCGGAAAATTGTAGAGTCTAAAGAAGCGCAATTGAGGTATGTATGGCCAACTCTCTTCTTCCTAGAATCGAACTCCTGGTGTCCGAATAATGGGTGTAAGTTTTAACTTGATCATACTAGAATTGTTTGCCTTAGTGTGTTGGATTGAAAGATTCATGTTCCCTAATTGTTTTAGATGGTTACCATGTCATCATGCTATTTGAGAACGTAATTATGTTATTTCCAAGCTCCTTCCCTTATGTGTGCAATGCCTTATGTGATGGTACTTATCGACATAAATAATGATGTTATTTGAACGGATAAAAGGGGAAAAGACTTGAATTGTAAAATGTTCCCAAGTGCCAAGAACTACTTAATAAATGAGGCTGTTTGTGCCATATAACGAAAGATCTAAAAGAAATGTGAATTGAGTGAACAATTGAAA